AGCCATGGCGAAGCAGTACGATGTGCTGTTCCGGCTGCTGCTGATCGGGGACTCCGGGGTGGGCAAGACCTGCCTGCTGTGCCGCTTCACCGACAACGAGTTTCACGCCTCGCACATCTCCACCATCGGTAAGGGGCGGTGGCCCCAGGGCGCCCCACCCTCCCCGCCGGCGGCCTCGCTCCGGCGGGCGCCGCATCCCCAGCCCGGGAGGTATTGTCCGCCCTCGGGAGGGAGCCGGTGGCGCGGGAGGCCAGGGCCAGAGGAGAAATCCCAGAAGGAGCAGGCCACCGGCTGGGGACCTGAGCCGAGGTGCCCGCAGGTGAGGGGGTCCCCGCTGCCTGCCGTCAGGGACAGGGGTAGGCTCTCCCGCCTCTCGCTGGGCCGAGAAAACGGGGGCGAGTGTAGGCCCAGGTATCCCCCGAGCTGGGGCCTCGAGAATCACAGTCACCGAAATGACATCCCACACCCCAGGTGGAGAGGGGGAGGGGACGTAAAGCTTGTGCTGGGTGAAAGGGATTCAGGGTGGGGAGCCGAGTCACTGAGGTACCCTCAGTTCAGGGATGACCCAATGTGGGGTCAGGATGGGGAAGAGAGGAGGAAGGAGGGGTCCAAGGGGTCGGGTTTCCAGGGCAGAGCTGAGAAGGTAAGCCTGGAGGTGGGACACCTGGAGGAGGGCATAGATAAGGTGAGAGAGGGACAGCTAATTGGCTGAAACATTTGTTTTGAAGAAGGAACGTCAGGAGTACTTGTCCAGACCAGGGGATCAGAAGGCAGGCAGGAACCCTTAGAGTACATCTTCGATCTGGCAATGCAGGAACCTGTGGTTACAGGGACAAGGCCTAGTGGCATCCCGGACAAGCGCTGTGATGGGGTCACCTATTCTGGAGGTGGGTCCATGGCCTTTCCTTTGAGAAAGTCTCTCCATCATGGGCCCTAAGGGGCCCCTTCCTGGGGAGATCTGAGTTGAGAGAACTCCACCCACACCTAACAGGATTCAGCCTCTGCACTCCCAGGCCCCTGGAAACACCTGTTGGTGGGCTGGTCATCCAGTTGGGATGCTCTCCTAGAAGCCCCTGCTGCCGTCAGGGAGGGCCCCAGCTCTCAGCTTCCTCTTGAGGGTTTGTCTCCACCCCACCCTTCCTCCTCGCCCCCCCCCCCCGCCAAGAGAAAAGAGGGAGAAGGTAGATACAGCCAGAAGGAATGGAGCCTTGTGGTTAAGAGGCAGGCTTCATTGTCAGGCAGACCAGGAGACCACACTTTGGGGCAACATGACCTTGAATATCACTTAAGCTTCTGAGCTTTAATTTCACATCTGTAGAATGGGAATAATAATAGAACCTACCTCCCAAGGTTTTGTAAGGATGAAGTGGGATAATGTGTGTGAAACACTTGGCACAAGAAATTTAAAAATATGCAAAAGTTAGAAAAAATTCCTTTTTTTCCAGGCTTGTTTTTTTTCTTCCCCCCCCCCCCCCCCCCCCGCCAAGAGAAAAGAGGGAGAAGGTAGATACAGCCAGAAGGAATGGAGCCTTGTGGTTAAGAGGCAGGCTTCATTGTCAGGCAGACCAGGAGACCACACTTTGGGGCAACATGACCTTGAATATCACTTAAGCTTCTGAGCTTTAATTTCACATCTGTAGAATGGGAATAATAATAGAACCTACCTCCCAAGGTTTTGTAAGGATGAAGTGGGATAATGTGTGTGAAACACTTGGCACAAGGTCAGACACACGGCGTGAAGCTGGATAAATGCTGCTTGCTCTCACTATTGTCATTAGTGAGCTCTTAGGGTCTCGTTGTCTCTTTGCTTCACTTTCTTCAAGGGAGTTAGCGTCAGGGAACAGAATGTCCATTTTTCTCAGGGGAGCTACAAAGGCAGGCTCCTAGGAGCTTGGGCTGGTCTACTGTTTGGATGAGAGACATTTCAGAGAGAGGGGTAGGGTAGAGACAGAGGGCTGTGTGCTCAGGGGAGGGCTCAGGAAAGAGGCAGGTGTTGGGGAAAGGCCTGGGAGTGAGCAAGGGAGTGGCTGAGGAATGAGATGGGGTATGAGGACAGGTTGCAGGCTTGGGGACAAAGGGCAGCAGGTTACCACTTAAGGAAACTTGCAGTGGCTATCCTTGGGACGGGCCTGTTTCTGGGAGCTGCTGAGCTATCTGCAGAGGGCTGTGGGCTGCCTGGGGGCCCCTGGCTTTTGCCTGAAGAACAGTTTGCACCTAAGTGTCCTGGCCACGTTGTGAGTCTTAGGAGTGCCCTGAACTTTTCCCTTTGACAGCTTTACTTCCCCACCTCATTTCAGAAGCTCTTGCTTAGCACTGTGGGGAGTTAGCCTCTCCTGGGAGACAAGTGTCCCCCTTCCTGGCAGAAGGAAGGAACCCTATTTGTAAGGAACCCTTACAAATGAGGGAACCCTATTTCTAGACTACCAGGATAGCCCTTCTGAGGCTCATGCTCTCCTTAAAGACAGTCCCTCTCCCCACTCCTCTTGTCCTTGACCCTTTTCCAATCTTTTCACCTTGTCATCTCCCTCTTAGACACCTTCCTGCTAAGAGGTGAATGCTGGATGGGTCACAGGGACCTCCTCAGAGGTGAGTCAGTGAACAGGGAGGGGGTATCTCCACAGCACCCTCTCCCTACAAGGCGCTTGGTATATTGACCTAAAACCTGAAGATGGTCCCCAACATTCTTTCTCTGCTTCTGATGGCCGGGTCCCCCTTTCCACAGGACACAGAGGACTCTTTAGGAGTTTGGATTCCATGGAAGAGAAAAAAACCTCTTTCTTCACATCAGCCATTTTTAATCTGCCACACTGGTTTTCTTAGATGCTTTCCTATTTAAAGCTTACTGAGGGACTTGTGATTCTCCCTTGTCTTGGATGTGTTTTTCAACATTAACTAAAACTTAAGGGAAAGAGTTGGATGGTCAAGAAAAGAATTTTCCTTATGTAATACCGAAAGTTTCCCAAGGAGATGGAAGGGGCAACCAGGAGACAAATCAAGGAAATGAATGCTACAAAGTCATATTCATTAATTTATCCATTTATAAAAGGTGTGTGTCCTGTGGACTAGGCTCAGTGCTAAGACCTGGAGGTTCCAACATGGATAATACACACAGTCCCTGCTCTCAAGCTATGCCTAAACCCATTCTTTTACCATGCTGGGCACTGATCTAGGCACCTTTCCTGGGGGATTTTGATTTTTTTTTTTTGTGAATGAGGCAATTACTGCTAAGACAGAGTTCAGATTCTTGGCTCAGGTTGATAGCACCTAGGCTGGCACTTTTTGTGATTTACTGTGTACTCCACTTACTGTATAAGAGCCTGTGACATTCCAGAGAAGAGCCTGCCAGGGAGCAGTGAGACCTCCCAGGTAGACTGAGGCACTGACCGTCCCCCTGTCCTTTCTGGCCTGCAGATGGGCAGGTGGCCTTGCAGTTGACTGCCATGGGCATCCCCTTCCCATCTAGTTGTGCTGGCCCAGATGGGGTTGGTACAGAGGGGACAGTCAGGCCTTGATGTCCTCTGCCTACAGCTATTTCCTGACAAGGCTCTTTTACCTGGTAAACAAATTAATTGAGCATTCACTACAAAGCAGCAGGCCAAGCATTTTGGAAACATTTTGAAGTCTACTTTCTCTTGCCCACAGAAGCCTATAATCGAGTTGGGGAGGCAAGACATACACAGGCAAAAAAGAGCTATTGCCAAAATGAGATAAGACATCTGAAAGTACTTGCTGAAGCACTCTTCAAATGTAAAGGATTGATTATGATCACTACTGTTACTCTTAATGAAGGTCTCAGTGGTTATCAGAAGCTAATAAGACGTGCCATGAGGCAGCTGGTGAGTGGCGATGGGACTGATGAGCTATGGCTGCGGGGAAGAGCTGTTGGAGGTCGGGGAAGGAGAGAGGCCCCTGTGGACGGGAACCAGCTGGGAAGACTGAAACCTCAGCCATCAAGTGTGGGCTGCTTGTCAGGTGGTTCCTGTAGTGGAAGGAAGCAGATGGAGTGACATGAGCAGAGATAACAGAGGTGGGAGTTGAGTGGGCGTCCGTGGGACTCAGGGCAGTCTAGCTGCAACAGAAGGGAGTTCGTAGAAAAAGTGTGAGAACATTCCTCTGTTTGTCTCTGTCTCTCAAACTGTAAGTACCTTGAGGGTGAGAGCAAATCTTATTCCTCTTTGTTTTCATTGTCCCTAGTACAGGGCCAGCCATATCTCAACACATGTTGTTAAATGAATGAATGAATGTCGGGGCTAGTTGGCAGAGGGCGTCGAGGGCCTGGCTCAGGAGGTGGAACCCGAGCCTTAACAGTGGTAGAAAAGCTTTTGAGCAGGGTACTTATGACATTAAATGAAAGATGAAGTTAAGACTTGAAGCAAGGACACCAGTCAAGGGTTGTGGCAGTATCTGAGCATGAAGGAGCCTCTCAACTGGTTCCTCCTCTCTTTCCCCTCCCACCCCCTCCTTTGGCACCAGCACCAACCTTCACACAGTCACCTGTCCTAGCTCTGTCCAGAAGTGGGAGGTGGTTCAAACCCAAACCGACCAACCTGTCAACTTCTGAAAGGGTCTCATGTGACCTGTGCTGTCTGCCCAGGCAAGAAGATGTCCTACATGGACATCTCTCTTCAGGGGAACTTTGATGACCTTTCTTCATGGTGGCCAGAAGCGAAATGTAAGCCAAACTGAAGGGACTGCCCAGGAGTTGGTTTTCTTCCTCCCATCCTTGGTCTTCCCTGAGTAGACCTGCCACTTGGGCTGTGGACCTTTTGTTTTAAAGGCTGCCTTTGGGCTGCACCCCTTCTGGGTGAGGAGAAGACCACGGCCTGTGATTTTCCAGCTGGACTGGTTGGACAGCTTGGACTGCTGTGGTTTCAGGGCTGCTTTCTCAGGCTAGGTTTGCTCCACAGTATCACCTTTCTCAGGAAGTTCTGTTGGAACTGGCTCTGGCTGCCTGGGGCAAGGACTTGTGGCAATGGAGGGGAAAGAGAAGGTGAGGGAAGGACCAGGGGGGCTAGATCTGAGCCTGGAATTGAGTAACAGACATGGGGTGAATGCTTGGGCATTTCTGTCCTGGGGTCAGCAGGTTTTGAGATGGAGGTACTGTGTAGAAATGCAGTGTGACCTTGCG